GCTATAATCACCTAATACACTGCTGCTGATTATTTATAGTTATCCATTAGATCAATTAAGAATAAAAAAGTCATTTACTTTTATTTGTTATTTTCTGGTGTTCTTTTCTTCATGTAGATCCAAGTTTCTGACCTGCACCATTTTCCTTTCTCTATTAAGAACTTCTTTTTCATTTCTCCCAACACAGGTCTACTGGTGAATAATTTTCTCAGTTTTGTTTGCCTGAGTCTTTATTTCACATTCACTTTAAATAATAATTACACTGGATGCAGAATTCTAACAGTGGATTTTCTTTCAACACTATTAAGTATTTCTCTCATTCTCTCTTGCTTGCATGGTTCCCAAAGAAAAGTCTGATAATTCTTCTCTCTGCTACTCTACAGGTAAGGTGTTTTTTTCCCCTCTGGCTCATTTCAGTATTTTTCTTTGTTTGATTGTCTGAAATTGGAATATGATGGGCCTTCATGTAGATTTTTTTTTATCCTGTTTGATATTCTAGAGCTTCCTGGAACTGTGGTTTGGTATGCCATTAATTTTCTAAAATTGCCAGCCATTATTACTTCAAATATTTCTTCTCCTTTCTCTCCTTTATTTCCCCCCATTACCTATGTGTTACACTTTTTAATTTTTTCATAACTCTTGAATATTTCCTTCCTGTTATTTTAAATTCTATTTTCTCTTTACATTTAAATTTACCAATAGAAAGTTTTTATTGATATATATTCAAGCTCACTGATTCAGTTTTGAAAGGCATTCTTCATTTCTGGTGCAGTGTTTTATGTGTTCTAGCATTTTCTTTTGATTCTTAGAGTTTTCAACTCTCTGTTAATAGTATACATCTGTTCTTAAATGTTGTCCATTTTTTCCCAATAAAGCTCTTAGCATGTTAATTATAGGTATTTTAAGTTCCCAGTTTAATAATTCCAAAGTTACTACCATATCTGAGTCTGGTACCGATGTTTGCATTATCTCATCAGAATGCATTTTTTTTTTTTTTTGCCTTTTATTACACCTTGTAATTTTTTTTTTCTTGAAAGCCAGACTTGATATATTGGATAATAGGAGCTAAGATAAATAGGCCTCTCGTGTGAGATTTTATGTTAATCTGGCAAGGAGCTTGACTGTGTCTAATGTTTGCTCCAGCTGTAGGCGTCACAGGCTACAGATTCCTTTCATGTCCTTTTCTTAGAGACTCCTTAAACAGCGTGTCTTGCAGATCTCTCCGTTGTAATCCACTGTTACAATCCCGGAACCATAGTTTACTATGGTCATAAACTATTGGGGAATTTTATGATTACATGTCCATTTTTAGTGAGTTAGAATTAGTGGGCTGTGACCTTCAGAAGAGTTTTTAACCATGCCAGGTAGAAAGGCAAAAAGGGGCTGAAGTTGTCTAATTGCTCTTCCTCTAGGTCAGAGGACACTTACACAAAGAAGTTTCCCTGAGGGCTCGCCTTTGTTTCAGGCAACTGAAAGCACTGGAGGTATTTCAAAATCTTTCCCTTCCCCCCCCCTCCCCCCCTCGCCAGAAGCAAGAGGGCGTTTTTGGTTTTTTTTCTGATCTTCACTGTGAGAACCTCACGTGGCCTCTGAAGGTAAAACCCATGGAAGTGTGGTTCTCCCCTAAGACCGGGGCCTGCTTCCCCAGCTTTTCAATGCTTGATTTAGTCCACATTTCAGTCTCCAGCAATTCACCAGTTTCTGTAAGTGCCCTCCACCCATTACTGGCTCATAGCATAAGGTTCTCCCTCCTCCCAACTAGTGGGCGGAGTTATGACATTACTGGCACCTGTCACAGAGACATCTCCAAGACATTGAGCCATCAATCAGCGCCTGCCAAAGTGTCCTGGAGCCCACCCCTTCCTATTCTGCCCTGGGTCCAACCCTCTCCTGTCCCTCCCTTAAAAGGACCCCCAGACCAGCCAAGTGCTGCTGATCCTCCATGTCCAGGTGGCAGCCCGGCTGGTTCCATCCCCCTCCCAACTCCTTCAATTCTGATTTCTCTGCCTCCATAATGAGTCCTGTTCATTACTGGGAATAAATTTTACTTTAAAACTCCTTGGTGGTCAGTTCCCTGCGCCTCAGACCTTACACATAGTAAGCTGTGATTCTTTGCCTTCACCTATGTCTTCAGTGCTCAGGACAGTGGTCTGTCCCGTGACCCAAATTCTCTGATGGATGTAATAAAAATTGTTGATTTTCAGTCTGTTTAGCTTTTTTCTTACTGTGATGACAGAAGTGACAATTTTTAATATCTTCAAATGTTAGAACAGAAACCAGAAGTCTTCAAAATATTTTTATAGATGTTATATCTTTTTTGATTACATAAAAGGGAGAGGTACACAGATCTTAATAATTGACATTTTACATATAAGAGAACTGAAGTGAAAGTAACCTTCTAGTACCTGCTAAGAGTCTTCCAATAAAGATCATTATGTTTAGGCATTAATGCATATGAAGCTACTTGAAAGAAAAAATTCAGTTTAAGTGGCATGATATGAAAAGTACTGAACTGGAATATTCTGTTGTAAATATCCTCAAGCCTGACGTAGCCCCAGTTCACTTTTAGGTTTTAAGAAATTCTCAACAATGGGAGCCTCGATTTCTCAATGTGAATCTGAAGCAAGAAAAAAACCACATGATCATTGAGGTCTCTTACAATCGCCAAGGGAAACCATTGAATTTAGGCCCTGTCTTTTTTGGAAGAGAGTTTGTACATGTGCATATCTGAAGTGTGCATGTGTGGAAAGGGAAACTTCAGATACTTTTCTGAACTGCTTAATTAACCCCTTCCCTTAAATGAAAAGCCTTCGCGTCTTTAATTCGTTAAAGGACGTGGCACTGTAGCTTTTCATCTCCGTATCATACACTGTCGTTTATAAATGTGAATCACCTCTATGGGAATGGCAAGAAATATTCAAGGTAATGAATAGCAAGAACCTGCAGCCAAAATTACTCTACCCAGCAAAGCTATCACTCAGAATTGAAGGCCAGATAAAGAGCTTCACTAATAAATAAAAAAAAGCTAAAGGAGTTCACTGCCAAACCAGAATTATATGAATTGCTGAAGGGGGTGCTTTAGGAAGAGGAAGAAGATAAAGATAAAAATTATGAACAACAAATACGTAACTATCAACAAGTGAAACTAAAAACCAAGGGAATTAAAAAAATCTGATGAACAATATTAACTGTTGAATATAATAGAATCAGAGGTATGGAAGGGGAGTGAACTGATGATTCTCAGGGAAAAGGGGAGGAGGGGTGAGGGAAGAGACTGAACATAAACTGTGCACCTATGGATGAGGACAATGGGTGGGGAAAGGGCAGAGGGTTGGGTGGGAACCTGGTGGAGGGTAGCAATTGAGGGGGGGGGACACATTTGTGATAATCTGAACAATAAAGATTTATTTTTAAAAAACAATAATAAGCTAAAGCAGGACTTGCTTCCAGGATACCTCATCTTTGGACAGTCTTACGTTTTCTCCTTCTTGCAACTCTACAACCATTACTAACCACCAGATTGTCTCAGTTAAAGGTCACTTCCTCAGAGAGACTTTCTTTGAACCCCTAGACTCTGGATTCCAATGATTGCAGGCTGTTGTTCCTTGTGATGAAGCCCCTATCTTAGACCGAGGCAGGATGCAGCACTTCCCCTTGCTGAACCTCTTTGCTCACATCTGCGTCCCTTGTTAGTCTGGAGCCTACATGAAAGGTGGGGACCTGTGGAGGGCGCTGCTACACTTGGAGCTAACAATCTGCAACAGGGCTGTTCCAGGGAACTCTGAAAGGTAGGAATCTGTAGTCTGCACAGGTGGATTGTGTCCAGGACAAGTGTTGAGGACAAGAGAACAACTGTATTTTTAAAAAATTGTCTTTATTGATTTTAGAGAGTGAGGGAAAGAGGGAGGGGAGAGAGAGAGAGAGAGAGAGAGAGAGAGAGAGAGAGAGAGAGAGAGAGAGAGCAAGAGAGATTGGCTGCCTCCTGCATGCCCCCATGTGCTCTGACCTCTCCGTGCATGGGACAATGTTCCACCACCTGAGCCACATGGGCCAGGGTGAACTACTGAGTTTTTCATTCTAATATAACTTTAAATAGGCATATGCAGTCTGTGGCTATGAATCAGAAAATGAGAAACTAGAGCAATATTTCCTCAAGTCTAAACCAAGATGTCAGGCATCTGCATGTCAACCCATTCCCCCTCTATATATTGATTCCTACTATCTGACAACTACTAACTTAGAAGGTGATTCTCACAGAGGAGGTTTGAAAAGAAAATGATTCTTTAGCCAACCCCTAGCCGTTCTGTTTCCATTGGTCTGGCGTGGGGTCCAGGTATTAATATTAAAAACAAACAAACAAAGCAAAAAACCTCCCCAGCGATTGTAATGTGCAGTCACGTCTGAGAAGCCTGGAATATATGTTCTCCTGTGGCGCTCAGCACATAGTAGGTAAATACATGGGTAAACGGCCTGGTGCGCTGACAAAGGATTAGCCATCACCAAGGAAATCCTACAAGAGAGGTCAGTGACATTAATGGTTCAGATGACTTTCTTGATATTCAATGGGGGGAAAAAATAGTTTCAGATAATCTTGCACAACTGTGTGAAATTCCTTGGCCTTTGGTTTTGTCTATAAATAGTACAAATAATACATAATTCTGTGATGTTTAGAGAGAGTGGCGCGCTCCAAGTTCCCTGAAAAATCACCTCTTCAAATACACAGAAGCCTCTAATTCGCTGGTGGGTTGGCAAAGGGCCTGAGGACTCACCTGAGCCACGTGGCCACACACTCTGGCACAAACACTGAAGGAGGGGGCTCCCGCCCCAGTTGCTGTCAGGCAAGACCTTTGGATCGCCTCTGATAGAGCCTCCCGCCCCCTCCAGCCGGGCAGTTAGGTCATTGTCCCCGCAGGAAATAAGGCTGGCCAGGCTCCAGGAACAGGGTATCCAGTGCAAGAGCCTTCCTCATCCTTCCCCTCCCCTTTCCACCCTGTCTCCATCCTTGCTCTGTGCTTACTAGTAGGTAACTGTCCAAGAAGGAAGTAAGGCTGGCGAGGTGCCTGGAGGGCAGGAGTGAGGTTGGTGCAGGCTCCGCACCAGCAGCCATCAGCGCTGTGGAGGAGGATCACGGGGTTGCTGAGCAGGTGGGAGTTTTAGCCGCTAGCCCAAAGCGCAGTGAGGACAGCAACTCAAAGGAAATCCAGGTAATTTTGCAAGGGTTCAGTTGTCTCATGATGTTTCAAAATATGCTCACGAGTATAAAGAAAATCAAAGCTCAGAATACTTATGTTGAAGCACTGCTAATTTTAGCCAAGACACTGGCAGAGGTTAGCAGATTAGAGGAAATTAACATGAAATTAAAACTGAAATGTTAGTTGAAGTGGAACAAACAGTATGGATCAGACCATAGCAAATACCAACAACAAAAGGTCTGCACAGAAGTTTAAATTGCTGGGAGAAATTTAGAGGAAACACATTTACCAATAAATGAAACAAAATACTAGAACAAAAAATGAATGAATATAGTTTAATAGAATATCGATGGACAATTTAAAAAAAAACTACTTTAATCTTAAGTATATTAATTTAACTTAATATTTATTTAAAAGTAAATTGAGATTTGTTGACTCAACAGGTTTACACTAAAAAAGAATTGAGTGGTGTTGCTGGAACATTGCTGTTCTTTTCCACAAAAATTTAATGGATTTAGAAAGAGGTAGTTTCTTCCTTAAAGAGAGTATTGCCAACCCCACTGCAATCACATCACATGCTTTCCAAAAAGTACCAGAGCTGTGTGCAATAAACTTCCCTTATCTGCAGGAAACAACTTTCGGTGAAGTAACATTGACTAATGTTCATTCAACAGCCAAAATACAGTTGTTACTCTGATTAGCATTTCAAGTTATCCCTTCAATGGAGTGAGATCTGGGAGGGTTAGGTCTGTCAATAGTCTTTAATAGAGCCATCGTTTCACTAAAATAATTTGCCCCTTTTCAAGTTTTAACATTCTCTTATCGATGAGTGTGCTTATACAGGTTTTTGTTTCATTTTGCTTATTTTAATTAAAATTTTAAAAGTGGCTTCTTTGCCAACACCTAATCTTGTATCTTTTTAGTCCCTCGACACTCTTCCCAGGCACCTCCTACCCCTGTGACCTATTGTAACTGTTTTATCTTAGCGAAAGTTCACCTCTGCTTGAACCTTGAGCAGTAGCCCATATAAGCCATTGCAGGGGTGAAACTTTCTGTTTGCCTAACATTAAACTATTTTTTATTGGAATAATGTTACTCTGTCAGAATTTAAATCTTCCTCAACGTCATCCCCACGGAGGATGCTGTCTTACGAGCAGTGTTTGTTTTTGTTGTTGTTTTAAGAAAGCACACACAATTTCAAATAGCTAATTTTCTTACTAAAATTCATTCAGAAATTTAGACGTTATCCTTGTTTTCAGTTAAATTATCCACAATAATGCCAAAGAACATGTATTATAGGTAGCTGTATATTTAATAATGGTCTCTGTGCAATCATGTAAGAAGCAATACCTGGAAAAATGCAACACCTTTAATGTAAATGTTCATCATCTCTCTCTCTCTCTCTCTCTCTCTCTCTCTCTCTCTCTCTCTCTCTCTATATATATATATATATATATATATATATATATATATATATATATATATATAAAAGAGTAATATGAAAATCGACCGAACGAACAACTGCTCGACCAGTGGCTATAAGATGCACTGACCACCTCTCAGTTCCTCCCCCACAGCCAGCAGGCTTTGATCGCCCAATGGTGAATGTGGAGCTGGAGGTGGGTGGTGACAGGGGACGGGGCCAGCTCCCAGCAGCCCAGGGAGATGGCCCTGATCACAGGCCAGGCCTAGGGCCCATACCCGTGCATGAATTTCATGTGCCAGGCCTCTAGTAAAATGATAAGGAAGGTGGTTTCAGATGTACTTTATTCAATACATATCCATCAGAAGTCATTACTATAACATTACATTTGGAGGGGGAAAAGGACTGGATTATCCTCAATTCCATTTCAGACAGCTTACATGGTAAAGTGAACTAAAAATTCAATGTACTGATGGGGAAAATGAGATATTCGGGGGTGGAGGGGTGGGGAGGGCTAGTAATCTGAATCTGTGCCAGTAACCTAATACACATTCTTGTTAGCCTATAGTCTAGTCACTGCCCCTTCTTTAATTAGCTGGTCCTGCAAGATCTGTTTACCTAAGTTCTACTCCCATTTTAGAAAGGCCACAAACCATGAACAACACACAACCCCCAGATGGAGTTATCAGCACTGGCCTTTAGATGTGGTCTCATGGCCCCTGCCCAACACATGGGGCATTTTGCAAAGCCCACAAAAGGTCCGGAAATCCCATCCCATCTTTGGGGGACAAAGAAACCAAAGGGTATGAAGGGAAAGCTTCCTCCATATTGGCTTGCTCAGGATTTGGAGGGAAACTGTCTCCCCGAGTCCTGTTTAAGTACATGTGACACATCTGAAAATAAATGTTTTTTTTTCCTGAACCTCCGATATGCCCACGTATTTTTGGTCGCCTGGTAAATTCTATAACAGTACCACATATAAACTCAAGATGGCATTGGGGAAAGACTCTAGTTTCCGCCTGTGATAAAATAACTCTTTTGTGTTATTTTGTTGCCCTCCTCGTGTAGCTTATACACATAAAAAGATGAATTATGTTTATTAGCCTTTTCCAAATGTACTATATGAAAAATGCGTTATTCTTGGCTCTTTATTATGGTTTGCGATATTTTCTAGATAGGGGAACAAAAACTTTTTTAATAAGCTTAGCAATGTTAACCAATAGAACTTTAGAATGTTTCATATCTACATTGTCCAATGTAGTAGCTATGGCTATATGTGGCTACTGAGAATGTGGTTAACATGACTGAGGAACTGAAATTTTGTAAACTTAACTTTAATTCCTTTAATGAAAGTTAGTTATTCATATGTGGCTAGTGGCTGCCACATTATACAGAGAGCTGCCTAGCTGCCACACATTGTCCTGGACCGACTGATAATATTGTACCACACACCGCTGCTGAACATATACGAGCGGATATTCCTGAGGAGTGATGTCTTCAAGGACCTAAATCTTGAGATTTAAGAAATTCTTGGAGAGATCTTTAGAAGATTATTCTATCTGTTCAGGTTTGGGGTTTTTTTTGGTTTTTTTTTTAAGTCATAAAGATATAAGGATTTATGAACTATTTGAATTACTAGACACTGTAGGTGCGGGGGCCTGACACGGCTGGGGATCTCCTTCTCTCCGTGGCCAGCACGGAAAGAGAGATGAAATTGGTTCTTCGTAGAGGCAGCCAGGGATTGAGAAATAAAGAAATGAAGAGAGTCGATGCAGAAATAGGTTTAAGCTGGGCCCCAGGTGGGTCGCAGACCTCCTCTGCTGGAGAGACTGACAACCCCTGAGCCACATAGCACACTATTCTCCAATACACAAAAGGGGGGTTTTCACAGGAAAAACAAGGAGCCTGGGAGGGGCCAGGTCCCATCCACTCCTTCCTGCCTGACAAACAGAAGCCAGGAACGAAGAACATCTCCACACTTCCAGGGCAGAAAGGTAACTGACATGATTTTGTCAATATCCTAGGCTCAGTCAACAACAATCTAAAGAATGTCCAGGTATTTTCCAGGGGCCCCCTACAGTAGGGGTACTACGGATGAAGAAAAGTGCATTTATCGCTTAGCAGATCCTGAGAATGTAATAGTGATTCAACCTGCACATGCCTAGAAGCTCATGTCAGAAATATAACAGGCTTTTGCTTGTTAAGGCACTAGTAGTTCTGAAAGTCTTCACACATGCTCTCTCATTTGATTATCACAACAACCAGTTGAAGTAAATAGAGTCCTGTTCTACAATTTGTTTATTATACCCATCTACCTACACAGAAGAATTTTTTATAATATAATAAAACTGTATCTAAATCTTAGAAGTGAAGCTTTCAAGCTCTGAAGACAGTTGTTTTTTTTTTAATTGTAGATTAGAGATCAAAAGTTATTTTTATTTTTAAAAAAATGAATAAATGACCATGGAGTACGAACATATTATAATATCTAATTTCATAAATATCCTAACTCTATATCTGGAAGAATGAATCTGTGCATACTTTAAAAAAAAAACTCAATAAATATCACCTATTGACCAAAATTCGTCCACAGATTCATAACTTCTTCATTGTTTAATTTTTATATCTTTTATTTCAGAAGCTCTTGAAAATTGCATCAAGTCTAAAGTGAACTAGCTCCCTCCCAGGCAGAACTATAACCATGAGCAACAACAGAACAGACGTAACCCTTAATTTTATTTCTTCTTCTATAGCTATCCTTTTGTTTGGCTCAAACTATGTACCACTTAAAAAAATATAATACTAGTGATGCTAACTATTTTTCCTTCGTTGTTAACCTTAAATTATTTGAATACCAAGTTCTCTATTTGGGTCTTTTGAAAAATTATAGCTACAAAAATAAATTTTGTTTATCCTGGCACCAAACAAATAAAGCTTAAACTAAATAATTTAATAATGCCAAGCCAGTTTGTCTGAGAGTTAGTTAGTATAAGACAGCCTTAAGATTGTGTTTCATGGTAAAGCTGTCAGGAAAGCTTTTGAGCCATATCTGTTATGTTTACAAAAGAAGAAAGTCCATTCTACAAATAACACAGGTTTTGAAAACACAGATTTCCAAAGCAACTGAGAGAATAGAAAACAATTTGAGCATAACATGAGTTTTGTGTTTGCTTCTGTGCAATTTTGATTCTGACAAAACACGGTGAACACAGAACACTGCATCTAGATGGGTAAAGATGCATAGTGATGCACTCACGCGCGCGCACACACACACACACACACACACACACACAAACACACACACACACACACATTTTAAACATCCCCAGTTCCCCCAGCACCACAACCATCCTCATCTGATGTTAGAACACTCCATCCACTCACCTCACCCTAACTTACAAGCCATAACACTTACGATGTCCACTTCCATAAAGAAACTTCAGGTCTTTTCCAAGTTAAAGAGCCACATTTATGGTAGCACTTATGAATTTCTTAACCACTACCCCGTGTACAACTGTAGTATCATTTTTTATCAGGTTCCTATCTTTTTTTTCTACTCTGTTGTTGATGACATTTTTGTGTCGTACCCTAATTTCCCCATTAGCTCTGTGGTTTCAGTTGCATGATTTTGCATAGTGCGGTGATTTTTAGGAATGTAATGTCACATCATAGTAGACTTGGCTATAATGTGAATTTTAGAGAAGAAGCAACAGTTGTTTTTATCTACCTGCCTTTTATATTAAAGCCAGAAGAAGGAATTGGAGAAGTTATGGTGAACACCTGTTAGAAAGATTTTGTCACAGCTCAGACCATAAAATTACAAAATTTTCCCTTCTGCAGCCTTTCTTTTCCTTTGGAGTTAAGATAGGAATGGAAAAACTACTAAAAGAGGAACAACAAGCATCCTGAGGGATAGAGGGCCTGATGTTTTAGGTATTTCACAACTGCGTGATCCTGGGCAAGTTTCACCGGCTCTTCTGTTCTCCGTTTCTCATTTATAAAGTGAAGAACTTGTAAAATGATGTTCCCTTTCATCTTTATGATCCTACATTTTTTTGGTCTGAGAGGTTGACAGCCTTTTTTTTTTTTTTTTTTCTTTCCTCCACAGGCAAAATCTTCCAAAGTTTAGAGTCAGAAGTGTGCATTGAGTTATCACTGGTTTAGTATTTCTCCCAAGGTTGACTTTTTCTTTATCCTTTTAATCTCTCAACCTTGATGCAGAAGCCTCAGAAAAGTACAGATTTACCCACATCATCATGCACTGTTCCACTAACTGGCAAATGGCAACCCACAGCATAGAAAGGAGGGTAGCCCTGACCTGAAAGGCTAATTCTAAGGCTTGTGACGTCTGACTCATCATAGGCATTCAACTCTAAATGTACAAGGTCTACATGTGACCATAAATGACTTTATTTTAATCCCAACGGTGACATAAGTGATCCTCAAAGGTTTAAATCACTGCTGTGCTAAAGTTCCTGATACCATGTTTTTGTGATGGACAGCACTAGGTGTAGTCTGATAAAAATATAGAGACTCAGTCTTGCCAATACTCTGGTAGAAAAGATTTGATTTGTCCAATAGGTGGGAAGGGGCGTTAAGCAGAAATGCACTGCTTAGTAAGCTTTAGAGTCAAACAGCCTAGGTTTAAACACCAGTTCTACAAACTTCTAGCTCTTTGTACAAGTTGCTACATTTCAGATTCATTTTCTCTGTTTTTGAACCAAGGTTAATTATGATGGGCAATAATTGTAAGAATTATATTAACTGTGCAAAGTTCCTGGCCTATAGGCATTCAGTAAATTGTGGCTATTCCTATAATGATATCTCATTGGTATCCCTAAGCCTTAATTTACTCAAATCAGTTTGAACCACTGACACCAATTTCTTTTATTTCCAGGAATGTTTCTCCAGTGGGTGCTTTGTGCGGCTATATGGTTGGCTGCCTTGGTGGCCAATCTGATATTACATTGCCCTAAATTTTGGCCTTTTGCAAGGCTGGAGGGCTGCATTTGGGTAACTGGTAAAGCATGATATAATTTATCATTTAATGCTTTCATCAATTTAAACTATGCTCATAATAACTCTGGTTCATAGAAGAGAACAGCACAAATAGTAATTCTGAGTAATTCTTAGTCATAGACACTAGAAATTAACAATTTAATATCTTTCATTCAGATGCTCCATAAATATTTTTGGTGCATTTCCTAACTCCTTTTTCTTAGTCCCTGATAGATAATTATAGCAAAATTATTAACAATTGTTCTCTGTTCAAGCGTAACTCATATGTGAGTTTCCACAATCTCGCCTTTCTTTCTCTAGCATGTTTATCAGAAAATATTTATTAAATAGTAGTCTCTATAATATCATTTTTAGGACTTGTCTTTTTTTAAAACATTTTTATTGATTTCAGAGAAGCAGGGAGAGGGAGAAAGAAATAGAAATATTAGTGATGAGAGAAAATCATCATTCAGCTGCCTCCTGCATGCCCCCTACTGGGATCCAGCCTACAAGGGCAACTGGGGCAATTGCCCTTGACTGGAATTGAACCCAGAACCCTTAAGTCCACAGGCAGACACTTTATCCACTGAGCCAAGCTGGTGAGAGCAGGACTTGTCTTTTATTTATTTATTTTTTAAATATATATATATATATATATATATATATATATATATATATATATTTGCCCCCCTCCTTCCCATACATACTCTCCCTCCCCAGAGTCTTATGTTCATGGGTTGCACTTATATGCATGTATACAAGTCCTTCGGTTGATCTGTTATCTCCCCCAGATTTCCCTACCCTCCCCACTGTAATTTGACAGTCTGCTTGTTGCTTTACTGTCTCTATATCTATCTTTTGGTTTATCAGTTTATAATGTTCTTTAATATCCATAAATGAGTGAGGTCATGTGGTGTTTCTCTTTCATTGATTGGCTTATTTCACTCAGCATGATGTTCTCCAATTCCATCCAGGTTGCTACAAATGATGAGAATTCCTTCTTTGTTATGGCAGCATAGTATTCCATTGTGTAGATGTACCATAGTTTTTGGATCCAATCATCTGCTGACGGGCACCTAGGCTGTTTCCAAATTCTGGCTATTGTAGATTGTGCTGCTATGAACATAGGGGTGCATATATCCTTTCTGATTGGTGTTTCTAGTTTCTTGGGATATATTCTTAGGAGTGGGATTACTGGGTCAAATTGGAGTTCTATTTTCAGTTTTTTGAGGAAACTCCACACTGTTCTCCACAGTGGTTGCACCAGTCTGCATTCCCACCAGCAGTGCACGAGGGTTCCTTTTTCTCCACAACCTCACCAACATTTGTCGTTTGTTGATTTGTTGATGTTGGCCGTTCTGACAGGTGTGAGATGGTACCGCATTGTTGTTTTGATTTGCATCTCAGAACTTATCTTTTAAAGTAACCAAGCATAGATGCATTATAATTCCCAAAGCACTGGCAGGAAAAAACCAAAAGCTTCTCTCTGTTGCTTATCAATGTCTGAAATTATATAACTAGAATTTATGCCTTTGCTTGGCCAATCAAGAATGTATAAGTACACCTCTGGAGAGCTTTCTTCTTTTCTAGCTAAGAGAATTTCAAGTATCAAGAATTTTTAGAGGTAATTTTATTAAAAGCAAATACATTTTAAAATGTTAAAAATATATTGGGTACTCAATTTGAATATCTGCAGAATAAATTATTTAACGAAGTTTATGAGTTGGAGGACAAAAACGCCAACTTTTATTTTATTTATTTATTTATTTACTTATTTATTTATTTATTTATTTATTTTAAATATATATTTTATTGATATTTTACAGAGGAAGGGAGAGAGATAGAGAGCTAGAAACGTCAATGAGAGAGAAACATTGACCAGCTGCCTCTTGCACACCCCCTACCGGGAATGTGCCCACAACCAATGTACATGCCCTTGACCAGAATCGAACCTGGGAACTTTCAGTCTGCAGACCGAAGCTCTACCACTGAGCCAAACCAGTTTCGGCAAACGTCAACTTTTAAATTCATACTAGAATTTAAATTATTATCCCTCACTTATACCTTAATGTGATTCTGTTTAGTATATCTAATTGGAATAGGAGAACACAGAATGCATTCATTTATCAGGCAGAACTTGATAACCACCCAATAGTATTTATACTCACCCAGTAGGTTCCACTGGGAGTCAATAGGAGAATGGTCTAATTTTAGATATTTGCAGATGTGGATGCAATAGGTCCTAATAATCAATTTGATATGGGTAGTAGACAAAACAAAAGAGCCTATGGTGATGTCAGCATTCTATCACAGTTGATTAGGAAGGTGGTGGTATCAATGACAAGGATGAGGATAATAGGGGGAAAACATGGTTGAAAGGGGAAATTATGAGTTCAGCATGGGACTGCCTGAGTTTGAATTCCCTGATGTTTTCACAGTGGAGAACATCTGGTTAGAGATCTCTTCTTGAAAGTTTGAAACATAAAACTGTAGAAAAGGTCCAGGCTAGACCTATATAGCTGGAGTATGCCTCTCTAGTTGCTAGCTGAAATCATGAAATTAGCCGACTACCCAAAGTAGAATATAGCAAGAGGTGGAAATGTATTTTAGGGGAAATATTTAGCAGATACCTAAATCTTGAGAGAATGCGCTACAGATAAGAACAGGAGAGAATCAGGAAATGAGAGCAACTTATAAGTCAAGAGAGGAAAGCTTTCAAGAAAATATTGCTCGAGTGAAGCCAGACTGCTGAGGGGCTAAGAACTATGTAAAATTATCGTGGATTTGGTGATCTTCAAGAGGACAAAGCAATGAATGAAGATAGTGAAAGTGAAAGAGCAAAGTCTAGGGTCATAGAGGGCCAATGACTTCTATCATTGGTTGACTCTGGTTCAAGCCTAAGAGGATGATCACCACTAGTTTAATGGTTGATAGTTGTTGCAAAAAGTCAGAACAGAGACCTACGTTAAGGTTGAAGAGTATTAATGCAGTTAGACCAGTAGCTATTCAATATTTCTTTTGTTTGATTTTGCTCTAAGCTTCATTCTTTTAGCAATCATAATCACGGGTTTAAATGCAAAAAAAAAAAAAAAAGTAGTTATTTTGTTTTTTAAAATGAGGAATTGTACTTTACTAAATTTGTCCAAATCCCATAAGTTTCCATTGAAGTTAAAATAAAAATTAATTCAATTTATAAATGTATTTTCTGTATTGAAAAAATAATACCTTTCTTCTGTGTGTTCCATCCATCTACAGGGAACATTGCTGTTGTCCCAGTGATGAAAAACACTGGTTTAGGTCTTGGTCTCTTAATCTGGGAATCATTTCATGCCACTGGTTGGACAAGCTCAAGGTAACACAAAGCTAATTATTTCAACTAAGATTCTCTAAGGAAGCTCATACACCCTATGAAAGGCTAGTGTTAGTGATTGGTCTAGCTGAAAGGAATAACATGATTCTTATTATTTTAATGATTATAGTCAAGATATATGCATAAAATATGCTGCCTTTAATTATTATTTATCCAACGTTCTAAAGAAGTGATCTAAATATAATATTAAAAATTATCTCTTGGGGTGGAGGAGGAACTAGGGAGAGAGAAAGGAAACTGATATTTATGTTCCCTTTCTATTGTGTGACAATTTCTTATATGACATGTTATATGTATGCACCATTCTTGGCTCATTTTCACAAATACATGAGGTAAGCACTATCTTATAAGAGCTGGTACACAAAGAAGTTGAGTGACTTGCTGAAGGTCACAGAGCTAATAAGCCAGATTCAGCACAGGTCTTCTAGTTCTGAAGCATCTATTCTTCCCTCTAGAGTCTGGGCCAGGGACAACAGACTAGGGCCCAGCTTCCCAGACATTTTTGTAAAGAAAGTGTTATTGGAACACAGCCAGACCGATCCATTTAAGTGTTGTGTGTGGCTGCTGTTAGACTCCAATGACAGAGTTGAGTAGTTGCAAGGTACCATCTGGCCCGCAAAGCCTAAAATATTAACTCTCTGCTTCTTTAACGAAGAGTTTGCCAAGCCCAGTTCTAGAGCTAGGCTGTTCAATATAGATGCCACAGGCCACATGTAATTTAAATTTATATTTAAATTACAACAGTATGGTGCTTACCAATGGGAAGTGGTTTGGAAGTAGTCAAGAGTACAGAGGGTCAAATATACAGTGGTGGAAGAAGATTTGACTTTGGGTGGTAAACACAGTGTAATACACATGGATGATGTATCTTAGAACTGTACATAATTCTATTAAAAAAAACATAATAAAAAGCTAAAACTATAAATTTAAATTAATTAAAATTGGGGAAAATTAAACATTCAGTTCCTCAGTTGTACTAGCCACCATTGCAGGTACTCAAATAGCCCTATCTTCCTAGAAGCTCCCCATTTATACAATGCAGCAATAGAACAGGCCCCTGATCACAGAAAGTTCTAGTGGGCTGCACTGCACTGCTCTTGGTGAGCATTGAGATTAGCATTCAAGTAGAGTTTGGTAAAATGAATACAATGGGGGCTATTACTCTGACCTTACTTTTTGATCTGGTCTTCCCACTTAAGCACTACAACAACTTAAACAATAACAAAACACATTAGCCTCCAATACATTCTTTTCTGTCCTCTCCCCATTTCCTACCCTGCTTTTTACATGTACTGTTTTCTCTTTTCTTCTTGCGTCCTTTTCTCTCCCCCCTAGATGTCTCACAGTGATTGAGGTAATGACCACTACAATGTCAAGGCATGAAAATAAAAAGAACTTGCAGTTATTTACAAGTTTGTTTCAAATGTAATGCATAATTGCCACCAACCAATTAGCATTCCATTACCCACTCAATTCATTTTTTTGTCTTCTTCCTTAGTCTTAGTAAGAAATGGACATTCACAAATACTTTTACATATATTAACTTGTTTAATCTTCATAAGAAACCTATATGGTGGGTATAATTGCCCTCATTTAAAGATGGGAAATTGAGGCACAGTGAAGATACGTTATCCAAGTCCCATTAAGTGAGGAACCTATGATTTGAATCCAGGAATTTGCCCCTGAGTGCAAGCCCTTAATCACTATGATGAACACATTTTCAACAACATTGACATTGATGTGACTTTCTTAATTTCCAGGTTTGGCTGGTTTGGAAAGGATGCAAAAGTAGCAAAACCACTGCTAAATTACTTGGGCGTTGGGCTATCAGTAGTCAGGTGCACAGCTATTTCTAATGATTTATCTCTTCTTTTAAACATTTAGAGTATGTGTTAAAGATCCTGGCTTGTTTACATTTTTTAAAGCCACATTTCATACATTGATATGTCTTTCCTCGGATTCTTCATTTACACTGACAGACTTGTCTTGAGAGGACAAAAAAATGCCAGCTCTGAGGCTAGGGGATCAAGCCCTAGCTCTCAGAAAGCCTTGAGACCCTGGGGAAGTCACTAAGCTTCTTTTAAGCTCACTCTCATTATCTGTAATATTTTAAAAATCATAATACATTGATTGGTTAAAAAGTAGAATTGAAGTCATTTGCAAACTAACAAATGTCATGTTATCCTGGCTTTCGAGGCTCCCAGAAGAACCACTGATTCTCTCTTATTATTATCGATACTCACTTACTCTGTGCCACCCAGTGTCCACTTCCCTGTCACTTCACTCAACTCTCCTTAACCCAATTAGGTAACCAACTCTATCACCTTTCTTATGCAAACATACACCCATTCAAACACTTTTAGATGTATCCGTGCCTAGTTGCACATTCTGTGTGAATGAGGATGAAAATGACTTGGAATTTCTATATGGCAGTGTTCAGTCAACAGAACTCAAACAGAAATTAGGTCACCTTAAATGCAGTCCCCTTCCTCTCTAGATGCCATTTATATTCCCTGTCAGTGCTTCACATAATGGATAGCCCTGCCTGGGAAGATTTTAGTGGGGTTTTTTTTAGTCTTCGGGGAAAGAGTATTATATTTCCCTTCCTCCTGCAATGATAGCTTTTCCCCAGCTACACTCAGGAACAATCTCTTTGTCATTGAAATGTTGCCTTAGAGAGTGGTTCCAGGTCAATTGGAGAAGAAATAACATAGATTCTTCTAAAATAGCAGATTCCTGACATTTTTGGTTGGAGGCAATTTTATGAATTCCGTATAATTCATACAGCTTTGAGTAGCTCTCTCAAAAACAGTTTCTTTGCACCCGAAAATTGTAATGTTAGCATGCTTTAGTTTTAATGGTAAATAAGGCCATTTATCCAGTCCTTCAGGCATTGTTTTTCTCCATATTTCTTTTTTTCTGTAGAAAGTGCACATTCTCTAAAATTACAAATTATTCATGTTCTACCATCTCTGTGTGACATTGGAAAAATCACTTAGTTTCTCCAAGCTTTGGTTTTTTCCTCTGGGGATAAGTTTGGGATGATAATTGCACCAACCTTGTAAGACACTTTAAGAATTAAATGAAATAAAACACATTAAGTGCTTTGTATGGTGCTAGACACATTGCTCTATATATTGGATAATTTTTGTCATAATAGTCATTATTTTCATTAACAACTTTCATGTTTATTTGTTGTCTCCCCTTTGAACATGTGTTTTCCAACTCTATGGTAAGGGAATCGGTGCACCCAGGGACTCATGTAGCTTGGTTTGAAGCTTGTCTGAGGCAGGAAAATGCGATGAGCTTTTGTACCAAAAGTAAAAGAGGTCGTATAGGCCACAGCATGCTAATAGCAATCCCACTTGAATTAGGTAATTCACTTCCCTAATACTGCCTTGCTCAGGATGTGCACCTTCCACAGGAAATCTCTCTACTGTTGTTAGGTTTATAATCCCAAGATACTCCTTGTCAGATGTGGTAGAATATTTTGTTTCTAACTAGGTCCTACCTTCCTCCCCCAAATGACTTCATAAGAACTGAAAGACTTGGGCTCAACATCAGCCCCTATTGTTTAGGGTTTTAGGGGCTAACAAAGAATTATGAAACTATGTACAGTATACTGCTTGCATTTTACAACTGATGGCTGTTTTGGACTTTATGTGGTGACATTTTCTTTTGCCTAAGAATATAAAGCATTTCTTCTGTGAGCATATACAATATCCTCACAATGAGAAAAAGGTAGTGCCTGGTGTATAGAAAATGTTCAGTAAACATTTAAATAAATAAAACAAATGAAAGACATAAAACAAGCCTTGGAAGAATTAAATAGGTTACTCTTTTTGTTTCACAATAAAACAGATCTCTCAAGCAAAATATATTTTTTTTCACAAAGCATCTCCTTGATGAAGGAAATATTTGTTCAGAAAAATATGTTTAGTTGTTGTCGCACAGTTAGCCAGACCTGGTCTTTTAGCCTGGTCTGTGTTGGGGACACGCCTCTAGGGTTGTGAGGTCCAGGCTTCACCATAACACGGAATTTCTATTGTAAATAGAGCTCATTGCTGAGTTGGCCCTCTGAGTTTCTACAATTTTATATTCCTTAAAGCTCTATTAAAAGAAACTTTAAGAGTTTCTTTTTAAGTTTGGAAAGGATGTTTTTTGCCTAAAACTTTGTCCTGTTTCATGCCATTGTCCTTTTGTATTAAATTAAAGGGATTCTTCAAAAATACTAGGCACCAACTCCCATGATCATTGGAAACACTTGCTTCATGTAACTATCAAGTCTGAGGAGTCAACATAACTCCAGTGCTTAAAAAGAAACGTTTCCTTCTTACAAAAAGCAATGGTTTATTTTATCTAGGTTGTTTTATTGAATTAGCACTTCCTCTTGACCATGCCACAGTCAATAAGACACAGGCAAAATGGTGGATCTCCATAGTTGTTTTGAACAAACCTGGGGTTAGTACTTAGTATGCTCTAGCCCTGCGCTAAATATTATACAGTGTGATTGTTTTGTTTTGTTTTTTAAAGCAGAGGGCAATAGTGTCAGTCCACAAATACTTCATAATTTAATTTGAGAGCCAAGTTTATTTATGGAGACTGTATAATATGATAGCAATTTCCTCAACTATGTAATGACAATTATAATGATAATCCAAATATAACTTCTGTAAATCATGCATTTCCAGAATTAGACAGTGGAAGACCTAAGCTGCACTCTAAGTCCTGATGGCATTCTGACACTGCAGGGTAGTTCCTTGACTTCTGCCCAGTCACAGAGCTTGAGATAGATGGGCCATTTCTGTATAATTGCTTGTGATTTGCATTTTGAAGCATGCTTTAATTTATGATTCCATTTGTGTGTTTGTCAGAAATATTGCTTTCAATCAAGATTAATAGTAATTATTTGTTTTTTAAGGGACTGCAGTCTTGCAGTGATATTGCGAATACTCTATAGATCCACATTTATGCCAATCATTTATATCAAGGACCACAGCAAAAGAAATGATAGTATATATGCAGGGGAAAGCCAGTATGGTAAGAGTAAAAACTTATTTTACTTTATCAATAAACATAATGCCTGATTTTCTACTTAACAAAGGTAAAGGGGTTAAGCAAAACAACAACAACAACAACAACCCCCCCCCCCCCCCACACACACACACACACTAACCTCACAGACACAGACAACAGTATGGTGCTTACCAGAGGGAAACAGGGGGGAGTGGTGGGGAGAGATGGAACAGGGTAAAGAGGGATAAATGGTAATGGAAGGAGGCTTGACTTGGGGAGGTGAACACACAATACAATATTGAGATGATGTATTATCTTTCTGTACACCTGAGACCTATATAATTTTATTAAGCAATGTCACCCCAATAAATTTAATTAAAAAAGAACTGGTACATATGTTTGATCTTACTTTTTCATTGCAAGTGGTGAATTAGAAAGGCATTAAAGATTAAAAGTAGCAAAAGTCTGTGAGTATTTTCATGTGATCTTTAAAATATAAATATAATCAACTTTAGTCAGCATTCAACTCCTTGGATCTTAACACATGGTTCCCAGCTTCACACTAAGCTTTGGAGATTACTTTCTGTTAGATGATATGTGAGAAAATATGTGTTTTTTTAAAACACACACACAAACAAACAAACAAACAAAAACTACAACAACCATAAAACCCAGTACATAGTACTTTAAAATCAAGTGAAGGTCTAAGTATAAGTTTCCTAAAGGTCACAGTAGAGCCTATTTAATCAGAGGATATTACTTTCTAAGCACAGAGTGGTACATTGAAAGGCCCAACATAATGCTCCCCAATAATCTGCTTCTAGTGAGAGAATTAATTTCTTAGGCGTAAATTTAACACTGCGTGCAATAGCCTTGTGGAGGCTCAAAAGGAGATGAAAAGGTGTTGGAACATGGCTTACACCCATGAAATGATACAAGAATGAGATCATGGGTAATAAAATTCTAAATCGGATGGTATAGAAAATTAATATGGTCAATGTTCAAATAAGGGAGAAGTTTGGAGAGCCAAAGTCATGGGGGAAAGATTGATGGAAAGTCAAGGATTTTAACTTTAGATGAGCAGATAGACTTGGAATAGATAACCATAGTTGCTTTGTTCCTTTTTATATTCAGCCCCATGAACAGCATTCAAACCTTTAACTTCTCCCTTTGCTTTCAGATTTTATACAAATACTTCTCATATTTTTACTCTTTGCATTTTAAAAGGATAAAAACTATTAAAGATAGAATAACACATAGGATAAATTAAAAGGGAAAGAAAAACAAGAGTGAAAAAATAAAATGGAACCAGAAATTAATCTAAAAATTGTGCTACACTGTACACTTGAGAGAAATGAACCACAAGTCTGACTCTAAGATTTTTTATAGCCACATGGAAATCAGATCAGTCCCACGATTTGGCGAACACTAGATAAAAGCAACTAATTGTTCAAGGATACAGTTGTCCTTGGTACTGGGACATAATAAACAATGTCCTTGACAATTTCTTTTCATAAATAGTGCAGTCAGTTCTCGGGGATCTTTCTTATGACAACTCAAATATAGTCTGAAAGGAACACAGCTGATTAAAAAATAATTCTAGGGGGTGGGCATAATTTTTACTTCATTTATTTAACAAAACATAAGTAGTGCGTGCTCTGCTAGGCACTATTCTAAGCACATTACAATAATAACTCATTTGTAGCAATGTTACTGGTTGAATTTCATTATAACAATGTTACTAGTTGAACACTGTTAATTATTCTTTTTAAAAAATATATTTTTATTGATTTTAGAGGGAGAGAGAGAGAAAGAGGGAGAGAGAGAGAGAGAGAGAGAGAGAGAGAGAGAGAGAGAGAGAGAGAAACATCAATGATGAAAGAGAATCATTGATTGGCTGCCTCCTGCAGAGCCCACACTGGGGATCAAGCCCACAACCCTGGGCATGTGCCTTTGACCAGAATCAAACCTGAGTCCCTTCAGTCCCCAGGCCAACACTCTATCCACTGAGCCAAACCAGCTAAGGCCTATTAATTATTCTTGTTTTATAACTGAAAAATTAAGACAGAAAAAGATTGGGTAATTTACCCAAGTCTCAAAGTTAGAAAGTATTGAATTGAGAATTACCACCCCTTGGCCTGTGCTTTTCATTGTTATGATATCCTGCCATTTGCAGTAGTGCATAGGTGGGTAGGCATGGCCTTCTTATGTGATCCAGAAGTAGGACTTAATATTTCTGAAGAATAGACAAACTCTTTGATTTTCAAAATTTTCCTTCCTATACAGGATCATTTATCTTAAGTCAGAATTTCAGATGAGAGAACCATTGAGCTCTATGTGGCCTTCCCAGCCAGGACCTGTAGCACACTCATCTTTATGGCCAAAATACCATCCTCTTAAACAGTCAGTGGAGTTGGGGTTTCTCAGATCATCATGTGTCAAATCCCTCATGTAATTAGGTTTATAATAAGCAATTGAATAAAACTCTCTTTGGGGTAACTTCCTAATATTCTTCTATATGGATGTCATCTACAACAGCGATACTGGTCTCCAGAATGATCACTAAACCATATGAAGTTAGCAGTCCCCCCAAATTTTCATACACCCCCTCCCACTACAGCTTACTGGAAATTTGCTACAATTGCTGCAGCCATTAGAGAAATTAGGTCTGAATACTATTCTTAAAAAGGAAGTATTCTCATGGTGCTGCTTATTTGGCTTTTCAAAGATAATCACAAAAATGAGCCTTTTAGATTTGATTATAGTAACTAATTTAGTACATACTATTTTCTGATTTTAGATATGTTAATTATAACTCTATATATAAAGAGCATGCAGAATACTAGGGTGACAAAATATAATTAATGGTGCCTTTATGTTTAAGGTACATTTTGGTGAGTTTGTTTTGTTTTAGAACTCTACATTTAAAACAACTAAAATGATACACTTGAGAGCTTTATAATCTATTTTCAGATTTAGACTATGTTTTTGCATCTTTCTTACAAGTACCATCTACTTTCTGGCTTACTGTATAGCCATGAAAAATAATCCCAAATTATATCCTGAAGCAGTCTTGCCAGGTAAGAATATTTACTATAGAAAATCTTCTCACTCCATAGAAATGCCATTCTCTACTCATCTATATATATAAAAGCCTAAGTGACCAGCTGACCAGCCAGTAGCTATGATATGCACTGACTACCAGGAGGCAGATCCTCAATGCACAAGTGGAAACCATGAACATGGGAACATGAACAGACTGATGTATCTCAGAGGGAAGAGGATAGAGAGGAAGGCAGAAAGAGATTAATCAAAGATATTATGTGCATACTAGAGACCTGGTGCACAGATTTATGCTCCAGAGGAATCCCTTGGCCTGGTCTGTGCCCTCTCACAATCTGGGACCTTTTGGGAGATATCAGAGAGCTAGTTTCAGCCGGATCCCTGCAGGCCAGGCCAGTTTAATATAAATAATCATCTTTTGGAAATTAAGACATTGTGTGTGTGTGTGTGTGTGTGTGTGTGTGTGTGTGTGTGTGTTTCATTCCCTTATTGCTTTAGCTCAGTTCACCACCAAATATGGAGGATGTATAAGCCATGAAACTGAATGTAAAATGCTAGCCATTATTATAGAACTTAAAATGTGAACAATAAATCTAAGATCATTTCCTATGCCAAAACATCTTGACCATCAGACTCTATTATTTCTTCTTTGTTATCTAAGGATTCTCATTAAAAGTCAGAGTCCTATGACTTTGATTTTTAAAAGTATCAGTGAATAGGAATCTGTAGTCACTTGGGAAAGCAAACTTTTTCTTTCTAAAAAGTAAGGAGAAATTGTTTGAGAGCTCAAAAAGCGTGTTAAATGCACATGCTTTTGAACTTAATCCATTAGGCATTGATGGTAAAAAAAATATATACATGTATAATTTCTCACTTATGATTTTTCTACATCAATTTTGAATAAAGGTCTATAAGTAAAAATTTTATAGAACAAAATAAAACCATATGTCAGAGACTCTTTTTTTTTTTTTTGAGTGCCTGATTGACTTAATCCAAAGTGTTACTATACCACTAGACCATAAAAATGGTAGAAGGCTTAGTTAAATTATCATGACATTTTTAGTTGGTATTTTTATATAAATTCTAAGTTTTTTCCCTTAGCTACAAGCAACATTCAGAATTTCACATATTGTTATGTTCATGGTTTAGAGTGAATGGTGATTGCAGAGCATGTTCAGATCCAATACCTATTCTTCATTCAGTTACCACTTTATTTCATGTCAATAAGTTGAGAGGATTGACTCTCAACTTATTGAGAGCAGTCAAGAGCAATTAATTGGTATCCAAAATGATCATAAAGCATAGCTCCAAGATCCAAGTTGGCCAACAGTGTGTATAGCAATGCATTGATATGTGTGTACTTTAATATTATTACTAACTCCAGAGCGTGAATTTTTCAGGAGGGAACGTGTCTTGTAAATGTGTGATGTTCGCATGTGTTTCAGGATTTCTATTGGGAATACTGTGGGCAATAGCCACCTGCCACTGGTTCATCACTAATCACTCTCTCAGCACTGTGGTCAGTTTTCCCATAGTCATTGATATAAGTAGCCAAACTGTTTCTCCACATTTTTGTTTTTAAATGTAAATCTAATTTTTCTGAAGTATTCTTAGTGATTCACTAAGACTGTTATGAAGTTTGATTTCTTTAGGAGGACAATTCGTGTAATAGAGATTCATGTAGATTAGGGGTGGAAACCTTTTTTCTGCTGGGGCCATTTGGATATTTATGTCATTTAAGGAGCCAAACAAAATTATCCATTTAAAAATTAGCCTGCTATACTTGGTCAGACATTTAATTAACCTAATGCCTTGGCAGGGCCAAACCAAATAATTTTCTGGGCCCCATCCCCATCAGATAAACTGATACCCTCTATCTCATGTCTCTAATTGCTAAGGGAACATTGGGTAATTTCACTTTAGCAGATTTGTTCATTTATTTTTTTTATATCCTTGCAGTGTTTGTCATGTCATTTTACCTACTGTCATTTGGGATACATTATCACTTGCTATTTATAACAATATCCACCTCTATATGACAGCTTATAAATGTAAAAATGCTTTGGTATTATCACATGACAACCTTGTGAAACAGAAAGCATTTCCTACTCCTCTTCATATGGAACTTCAATATTTTATTTTATTTTTTTAAATATATTTTATTGATCCTTTTACAGAGAGAAAGGGAGAGAGATAGAGAGCTAGAAACGTAGATGAGAGATAAACACCGACCAGCTGCCTCTTGCACACCCCCTATTGGGGATTGCCCGCAAGCAACGTACATGCCCTTGACCGGAATCGAACCTGGGACCTTTCAGTCCGCAGACCAACGCTCTACCATTGAGCCAAACCGGTTTCAGCATGGAACTTCAATATTTTAAAGGAAGGCTTTCAGAAAGTGCTAAAGCAAAGTACTGTGTCTGGATAATGCCATTCATCATGGCATACATAATGCAATTTGTTTCATCTGACTTTTTTAGGTGTCAATTATGTAGAATACAGCTAGGTAACAGAAAAACAAAAATACTTCCTTTGACATAGAAAGGACAAGTATTAATAAGATTGTCCCCATTTTGAAGATGAGAAATTTGAGGCAATCATTCAGAGGATTCTTGGAGTGAGAAAACAAGTAGAAATCTCAAGGCTTCTCCATTCAGAGTTTCCAGTACACAGTGCTACTTTTTGCCGTGATTATAGAATCTAATTTAGAGTTTGTTTTGTGTTCATTATGGTAATAGTACTGACATATATATACATACAGCAGCCCCTGCTTTTAAATCATCATCATAAAATTTTCCTGAAACATTTCATCAGCACACCTGTACAAACCTAGAAAACTAATTTTTAAAAACATATTGTCTAATCTAAAACACATGGCATTAAAGTTTGAAACATTCTTAAATTTTAATATAAATTCTGGATTTTAAACAGTATATTTTTGACAATTCTATTATGTTCGTAAAACAGCTTTAAAGTGCAACTAAATTCAAACAAATTAGTCTTTTTTTAATTTAAAAAACTCACATTGTGATATTCATAATCTCTGCTGAGGGAAAATGTTATCGAAATCAAATATGTTATAAGGAATTATTTTAGGTTTAAGTCTTCATAATTAGAATGGCAAAGAACCCAAAGTCTTTCCACAAAGGGGTTTGTTTCTCATCATATCAAGGATATTTAATGTTAGAAGTGACCATATAATATGGGAAAATATAATGGGCAAGTAAATTTGCATGGAAAAGTATACAGTATGATATTCTCCTTGACTAGAAATATAAATATTATATTCTTGAACAAATGTGAATTCTCTAAAAAGTATTGGAAGCAATTTCATATAAAAGATACAGATACACCCTGGCCAGTTTGCTAAGTGGTGAGAGCATCGGCCCATAGACTGAAGGGTCTCGGGTTTGATTCCAGGTTAAGGACACATACCTGGGTTGCAGACTTGATCCCTGACCCTGGGTGGGGGAGAGGTAATTAATCAATGTGTCTGTCTCTCACATCGATCTCTCTCTCTCCCTCTCCTCACCTTCCTCCACTCTCTATAAAAAAAAAAATCAATGGAAAAAAAAATATCCTTGGGTGGGGATAATAAAAACAAAACAAAAACAACATAGAGATACAACCAAGCTGCACAAGACAAATAAAAATACAAACACAAATCAAATATCAAAACTATAATAAAAATGAGTAAGGAAGCAAATCACACAAAGGGTAAATATTTGTGCAACTAAAAATTAACTTTGCACGTGTAAAAGTGGGTAATACAATGAGGTAGCTAATTATTTTTTTAATATATTTTATTGATTTTGTACAGAGAGGAAGAGAGAGAGATAGTTAGAAACATCAATGAGAGAGAGTCATCGATCAGCTGCCTCTTGCACACCCCCTACTGGGGATATGCCCGCAACCAAGGTACATGCCCTTGACCGGAATCAAACCCAAGACCTTTCAGTCCCCAAGCCGACGCTCTATCCATTGAGCCAAACCGGTTTCGGCATTTTTAACTAATAACATTATTTTCTCAGAGAAGACAAGTTATCTTCTAGCATTGCCTTTTAAACAGAATTTATCATATGGGGCCTTTTGCAAGGGACATTAAACAACGTTGAGTAATATTCTTTACAGAAGAATATTAAATTTTCTAAACACTGTTTCTTGTATAAAATTATGGTAAAGATGTACAGCGGAACATTAACGCCTAGGTCAGAGGAAATGAATTACTGAGGTAAGTGGAGTTTGGACAGAGGGGCCAGTGGGAGTGGTCAAGTTAGCTTTGGAGACTTGCAGGCCGAAGGGATTATTCTTGAACCACTGATCCCAGCACAGGCATCCCACCCAGCGGGCATAGCTTCCTGTGGTGCTTGAGGACTACTCCCTGGAAGGACAGTATTGCTGGGGGATGAAGGAACAGGTCCCATTGCCACAGGGTTCTTGCTTGGTTTGACTTTTGTTGCTCTGTTTAAGACAACCTTATCCACATGCAGAAAAGATTCAGTCCCTACCCTCAAGGATCTCACACTCTTTTTATTTTCTTAGCAGAATAGATTTTTTTTTAACTTTAACTTTTTCTAATGGAAAATTTCAAATATACTCATCACCCAGTTTTAATAATTATAAATATGGCATTCTTATTCTATCAAAAAAGTACATTAATCCCAGCAGTTCTGTTTTTCCATGTACAGATATTTCCATTGTGACGTATCTATTGGAGAGTAGACTATGAGTTCCTTGAACATGTATGTGCATTGCTTATTGGCAAATAACATTCAATTAAAAAGTAAGAAGAAGAAGGAGGAGAAGGCAGAGGAAGAAGGAGAGGAGGAGAAGGAGGGAAGAATGGAAGAAAGGGAGGGGATAAAACCAAACCCATATAGCCTGACATGGCCCTAGAAAGAGCTTATGACCTCTGCTCCATGCCTTCCCCCTGAGCCTAAAAGTTTATCCAGAGAGTTGAACTTCTCAAGATGGCTCAAGCTCACCTAGTTTTGAAAGACTGATTTATAAATATATTTTGTATAAATGCATAAAAGGAAAACATACAACCCGACTGCCAAAGCAGTTGTGTCTTATCTATAATGACCTTCCTATTTGGCTCTCCTTTGCCTGAATCAAAGCATCTATACACAGTATCACTTATACTTGCATTTAGCAAAGCACTTCTTCCTACAATCGCATTACTCATCACAATCACCTTTAGGTGCTAAGCAAATATTTAGAAAATCATGGGCCAAAAAGTCTCAGAGGTCAATGATACCTTTTGGTATTATCTTCCTCCATGTACTCTGAAGGGAAATTCATTTCCTGATTAAAGAGGATAAAATTCTTAAGCAAATAGCAAGATGGCATTAATGTTATACCCTTACCCTATCGTCCAAAGTCAGTATAGAATTGCCTAAAGAATCCAGATGTGTCTTGTCTGGTTTGGATTTTGAGATATGGAACCTTACGTCATTGATAACAGACAGTTCCTTTGACCTATTTTTCTGGCTCTTTTGATGTAGGCTTTTCCAGATGCTGACAGAGAGTAATGTATTTTTATTACTTCTCTTACATGCCAGAGTGGAGTCAGACTTTGCTGACCCGGCCATGTGGACAGTTGAAATAGTGGGGGAGGGAAAACATGTTGAAATTGTTTATTTGAAACTTCCAGAGTTTGTGCAGGCTTAAAATGGAAGCATAAAAAATGTTAACACAATATACTTTCTCCACAAAAACCATGTTTAATTCAAATTCCTATTTTCCCCCTTTTCAAGTAAAAATAATAATACCATTTAATATATCAAATTTTCAAACTATACAATAGTCCCTTTACCCCCATCTCCTCTCTTCTCAGATCCTTTATATTATTTTATTCCTGTGTTTATTTCCCGTTCATGAACCCATTATTTATTTTTTCTTACATGGTTTTTCTCTCTTCCCATAATATTATGTTTAGCATTTATTAGAGCTTAATATTAGACATAGTTGATTATTGTGAAGTGATATCAGTTTTTAAATTTTTTAAATACATGCTACTTCCATATCATGCTATTTATTCAAAAGAACATACTAGTTTTTTCAGTTACAAGTTTATCACATGTCAGAGAAAGTTATAAATTTCTTCATTTTTCCTATTAATCCTACTTCTAGTACCATAAGAAACTAGTTCACTAGAAAAAAAAAATAAACGAATTGCTTATTAAAATACTAGAGGCCTGGTTTATAAATTTGTGCATGGGTGGGGACTCTTGTCCTGGCCTGTGATCAAGGCCCATGGGGGGGGGGGGGGGAGAGTGTAGCTGGCTGGGGGAAGGGACCCCAGGAGGTTGGCCAGCTGAGGGGAAGGCCACAAGAGGTCGGCTGTAGGAGCGCACTGACCACCAGGGGCAGCTCCTGCATTGAACATCTGCCCCCTGGTGGTCAGTGTGCATCATAGCGACTTGTTCTGCTGGTCGTTCCAGTCATTTGGTCATAACTGTTGCTTAGACTTACATATATATATATATATATATATATATATATATATATATATATATATATATATATTAGATAGATTTTATTATAAATAGATCACATTGAAGAAACACATTCTATGGCACAAAATATTATAGCATTATCAAAATAAAAACCATAAAGAAAAACATTAATGCCCAGCCAGTGTTGCACAGTGGTTGAGCATTTACCTATGAACCAGAAGGTCATGGTTAGATTCCAGTCAGAGCACATGCTGGGGTTGTGGGCTCGATCCCTAGTAGGGAGTGCACAGGAGCAGCTGATTAATGATTCTCACTCATCATTGGTGTTTCTCTCTCTCTTGTTCCCTTTCTCTCTCATTTTTTACCTAATGCTACTTAGTTTAACTTAATGATGAGTTAAGATTGATATTATTTTTCTGTCAATATAGTTATATTGCTTTTATAATAGAAAGTTAGTTAATTATCAAGTGTCAAGTCAGCTCTCCAATTTACTGTATTTACATAGAAAATTATCACAGGAAAATAACCAATTTAATTAAAGTTCTTTTTTCTTAAGGGTGCAGGATTTGTAGTTACAATGTGCGGAGTCTTCATGCTTAAAGAAATACAGGTATGTACAAGAAAACAGGGGTAGATCCAAGTATAAAGAGTATATAATACTATGTTTATGTTATTTTCTGAAAACTGCATTTAACTACTAAACTCAGTGTAGAAAACACATGAGTTGAGTTGACAGGTCAGATATTCAAAATCTGTTTTCATCCCTAACTACCAAAGAAAATAATAAAAACATGAAAATCAGTATAAAATATGTTTCTCTCTACCCAAACCCTCAGTAGAAAAATGCTTTAGTTGATTTTAGATTTCGGAAAGAGGTTTGGTTAAACAATCCAATAAAGTGGGACAGAGGGAAATTTTGTTTTGTATAAAATATGGTTGCTTAACAAAGAAAGAATTCATTTTATCCCAAAGATTAAACTATCCCCAAGGCAGATGGATTTGGGGAATAGATATCCATGTGGGTCCTCCTGCCTCCCAAAGGTCTCCACATAAAAACAGCAACTTTAGCCCTGGCTGGTTTTTCTCTGTAGTTAGAGCTGTCATCCCGCAGACCAAAGGGACACAGATTTGATTACTGGCCCAGGGCATGTACCTCGGAGGCAGGTTTGCCCCTGGCTCTGGTCGGGGTGCATGCAGGAGGTGACCAATCTGTGTATGTGTCTCTTCTCCCCTCCTCTCCCTTTCCCTCCCTCTAAAGCACATGTGTCAAACACAAGGCCCGCGGGCCAAATCCGTCCCGCCAGGCCTTGCAATGTGGCCCGCACCACGCTGTCATCACTGCACTCCGATGCGTTTCCATCACAATGACAGTTTATGACTGTTCAGTAAACCATTCGGCCCGCAATTTAGGCTGGATTTTAGATTTTGGCCCCTTCTTTGATTGAGTTCGACACCCCTACTCTAAAGAAACAGTGGAAAAAATATCCTCAGGATGAAAAAGTTAAATAAATAAAACCAGCAATTTTACAGGAAAACAGTATGGTGACAAGTGACCACTACCTCTTCCCTCTCAAGTGTAATTGATGGTGATCCAGATACTCCGCAAGACAGCATACACATCACAGCTTCTGTCTTCACGTGCAGCCATTATAGCAGGTAACTCCTGGGTCTAAGAAGATCGGGTGCTGCTAATCTCTGAGAACTAGGAAGTGAACTGTGTCCCTGGCTAATCCTTAAAGTGATTCTTTGATTTTAGATTTAGGAAATCATTCTGTTCATTCTAAATGAAATGTTTTTATTTAGAAAGCCATAATTTGACGATATGAGTGAAATTTTCAGATGAAATACACATGTTTAGAAGATATTTGGACCATGAGTTTAGTTGGTTTTTTTAAATACACAAGACAACTGAAAACATTTGTAGATTCATAGGTTACTTTTATGCACATGTTTCTCATTTATTTTAGTTAGAATTGCTTTCCACAAAAATAATTCTATGCTTGTAACACACTATAAATCTCTTTGCAAATATTTCATCTGCCTCACAAAGGATGGTTTCCACTTAAGAATTATTATTTAGTGTAACATGCTGAAGCCTTCGAAAATCACCAGTTATTGACCAGAGCTTATTTGCAGTTAGGGTATAAAGAAACACAAACTAAGAATAGATCTATTTTAAGCTTTTGAAAATTATTTTGCTCAATACTATACTAATAATGATACTGAATTTAAAATATTTTTTCTAGATATAAGGACTCCCTTGAGAGAATCTCTAACCATTAAGCCTCGTGTTATGCCTTAGAGTCCTCTGCAAGATACTAAAAGGCGGTTAAAGAGGATTTTCCAAAAATATCAGCTGAAAATCTTCTGATCCAATAAAACCATTGAGTAAGGTGCTGAAATATAGTATAAATATAAAATAAATATCCTCCCAATATGCCACTAATTATCAATTAAAAAAGTATAAAATAAATGCTATTAATAACTAAAAAGATTACTAAAATATTTTTAAAAATCAACAAGAAGTATGCTAGATTTCTAAAATCTTTTCCTTAACTGCAAAAGGACATAAAAGAAAATCAGAAGAAATGGGGAGACTCACCATATTCCTGATGGGACAGCTCACTATGGTTCCTAGGCGGTTCTTTCCAGTAACATTCATTGAGATCCCTATTAAATCCCAGCGGAATCCTTTCTGGAATTTGAGAGTGAGTGCTGAAGTTTAGCCAAGTGTGTATCTGAAAATAAAGAGAGAGAGGGCCAAGCTGAAAGCAAAGAGTGAGTTTTGTTGACCTTCCTAGAGTTAAAAAAATCTTACGAATCCGTCTACAAACAAAGCTTAAAGGGCGTCCAGTGATACTTATCATTCATTGCAGATGCCTCCCTGCCTCTTGACAATTGAGTTAAAGGAGTTTCAAATACTTTACATGCCAGAGAGTTTAACTTATCAACTAAACACTGAGCCCAAAATCCTATCAGAATTTTAAAAAAATATTTCTTCTTAGAAACACTAAAAAATCCTAGAGTGAAACAAAAGCAAAACATTTATCTTTCTGACTTTTAGGTCCTATCAGTTATGTCTTGAATCAGTGCTTGAGACATAATTTAAAGTCCACAAGTTACAGCAGTAAGAACTTAACAGACACAAGCACTTTTGTGTGAAAGAATTTAATGATTTTATTTCGTTTTAATGGAGGTTGTGCACTTCTAATGTTCTTTTATATCTGATATCTGTTCCTCTTGGGGATGTCTGTTGTATAATGTTATATTAGCTATTTTAAACTAAATATTCACTAAATTTTTATCAACACATTTTTTTTTAGCTAAAGTGATATAAATTATTATCGCCACAACAATTAATAGGTCAGTAGCTACCCCCAGATAAAGGATGAGAGGATTTCTTTTTTAAATCTCAATAGCTGTTTCAAAAATCCAAGTTCAAAACATTCTGCTTTGGGGAGAATGTTAGCGTGATCTGTCCAAGAGCTAGCATTTACCTTTGACCAAGGAAAACTATGACCCAAATATAATCAGTTTTTTTTTCCTCTCCCTCTTAAGAGACTCGGCAGTTTAGACAGATTCTTAAACTTAAAAAGGAAAAATATTTTATTCCCTGAGATCATTATTCTTTTGTCTATAGACAATAAAATAGACTTTGCCAAGATATTTACATAATTAGTTGTAAAATGTTAATTGAAGCCCCATATATTGTTGTTGTTTTTTCTTATTTAAGTAATCACATTGTCTAATTTAAAGTAAATTTAGCAATCATTTGGGTGTATTCATTTTTTGAACAAATATTTATTGAGTACCTATTTTGCACCAGTACTGGTATCTCGATAAACGTACTGTCTTTAAAACCAAGAAAAAGATATCAGGAACTTTAATGCCGTGTGTGTGTGTGTGTGTGTGTGTGTGTGTGTGTGCGCGCGCGCGTGCGTGCAAAAGGAATATGCATTATATTGTGTTTGGGATTGTATTAATTGGCATAAATCTTGATAAGGCTAAAAATAGAATTACCGTATTTTTCGGACCATAAGATGCTCCAGACCATAAGACGCACCAGTTTTTAGAGAAGGGAAATGAAGAAAAAAAGATTCTGAAACAAATAGTGTCCTAAAATATTTTATGTGCATTAAAACCCAACATCACAGTCATAAACACATGTAATCAACCCTGTAAAGTAAACAGCAGCATTTAGAACCATTTTAGAGCCGGGCAAGCACACAGAGACCACACAGAGCCGGGCAAGTAAAAAAACTTTTTTTTTTAAGTATATGTGTAGGCTATATTTGGACCATAAGACGCAGGGACTTTTTCCCCCCACTTCTGGGGGGAAAAAAGTGCATCTTATGGTCCGAAAAATACGGTATAAGGTTTGACTGTCAGAATATCTCAATGTAATTTTAGACCAAATATCTAAAATTAGGCACTAATCCTGTTTTACTTTGTGATATTCAAACTTCCCCTTTAGGATAATGAGAACTATATTTAAAGAGGAATATAGACAACCCAGCAATCAATCATTCAGAGGGAAATTGCCAGGATAGAGAAGGAGCTTGAAACTGTTCCATATGAGGAAATGGTCAAAGGAACTAAAATATTGACCAGGAATGCAGATGCTTCAGGGATATAAGAAAGTTATTTTTCAATGTTTGAGAGTTTTTTTCTTGTGGAAAAGAGATTAGAAATCAATCTATCTGTACCCCCAAAGATAGGACTTGCCAGAAATAAAATATTTCTAGTTAACACAAGAAGATAGTCTTTGTTAATATAAACATAGACTGTCTACATTGGAAGGTGAGTCTTAGTTTCCCATCTTTGTGACCAGTGCATCTATACATAGCTGGACAAGCCAGATGTAGTCTATTTCTTCCTAACCGTTGTATTGTTCTCTGTCTATTTATCTGAACTTTATCATCTCTTCCCAGGAGGACTGTGGTCACCTCCTTATTGGTCTCCTTCCATCTATCTTGTCTCCTCCAATCTGTTCAGCATTGTAAAAAGTGTGTGGGCTTTATCAAATGCAAATCCTATCTTTTCACCACATCTAGCTGTGTCTGCTCCTTTAATAGATTTTCATTGCTCAGAAAAATAAAACTCAAAAGCATGATGTGACCTATTAGATCCCTATAAGATCAGGCCCACAGCCTTCCAACCTCCCCTTGCCTCTACCTAACTCTCATTGCTCTAGTCACACTGACCTTTCAGCACCTGCTTTCTCTTACAACAGAGTTTTACACATAGAGCTCTAAAGTTCTACCTAGAATTTCAACCTGATACCCTCTTTCTTTTACCTTATGGGTTTTCAAGGGAATCTGGACGATTACTTAGAGAAATTAAAAACAAACAAAAAAAAACCAACATGTAGGTGGCTAAGTAAGATGGTTACAAGGTCCTAGTAGTCTTAAGAATCTGTGCGTTTTTGTGTTTGATTCAGGTGTTCTTAATTAAAGTTATTATTGTTTATTATTCAGGGTCAAAAAAACTACCTATTAATAATATTTGCATTTTGCATCATCTTGACTGGAGCATTGTCCACTGCTTTTTCTAAAATCTAGGAACCACATGACCAGCAGGTGGCAGCAGGGATTAAGAGGAGGCCTCTCCTGAACAGTAGACAGATTATGCTGAGAACAGAGATCATTTTCATACCACAAATGGATCTCAACTCATACTGGAGTGAGTAAATTATTATTTTTTCATAAATATGAGAATGAAAGAAAACATTTACAGTCAAGTACAAAAATGAAGAATTCTTCTGATGAACTATTTGTGAAGGTAGGACTTAACGGGTGAGTCTAAAATATCTACATTCTTACAGAATTACATCTAAGGGTGCTCTTTATTCTTTTTAGTACTTAAAAAAATTTGTAAACAGCCGAAACCGGTTTGGCTCAGCGGTTGAGCGTCGGTCTGCGGACTGAAAGGTCCCAGGTTCGATTCCTGCCAAGGGCATGTACATTGGTTGTGGGCACATCCCCGGTAGGGGGTGTGCAAGAGGCAGGTGGTAGATGATTCTCTCTCATCGATGTTTCTAGCTCTCTATCTCTCTCCCTTCCTCTCTGTAAGAAAATCAATAAAATATATTTTTTTAAAAATGTCTAAACAAACATGCACACACAAATAAAAAAGACAAAGTTGGGAAACTTTCCAACTCAAGAGTTTCCTCTCCGCCAAAACTGGTGTGGCTTAGTGGTAGAGTGTCGGTCTGCAGACTGAAAGGTCCCAGGTTCGATTCCGGTCAGGGGCATGTACCTTGGTTGCGGGCACATCCCCGGTAGGGGGTGTGCAAGAGGCAGCTGGTCGATGTTTCTCTCTCATTGACGTTTCTAGCTTTTTATCTCTCTCCCTTCCTCACTGTAAAAAAATCAATAAAATATATATATTTTTTTAAAGTTTCCTCTCCTACAAATAGAAGCCAGAAATTCACTCTCCTAGCCTTCCTTGGGTAGGATTTGCTGCTGCTGATGGTGTAGCTTCCAAGCCCAATGTTGTGGTCTTGCTAGGGATTCTGTGAGCCACCTAATCAAGTTGTGTAATAAACTTAGCCTCATTAAAAAAAAAACTCTCATGAATATATTTATAGCATATTTTAATCAACTTTCATGAAATGTAACTTATATCCAATGAAATGCTCCCATTTTAAGTGGACAGTGCTCTGAGCTCCAGCAAATGCTCACGCACGTGAACAGCACTACAATCTAAATACAGAACATTTCCAGCAACCCCAAATATTCCCTTATGCCCCTTTGTATTTAACCCCCAAGACCAGGCCACCAAGGATCTGTTTTCTGCCTTTCTAGATTATGTTGGCCTATTCTAAAGTTTTAGGTACAAGGAATAACATCAGTATGTACCCTTTTGTGTTTGATTTCTTTCATCTTATAGCCATTATTATACATTTTTTTTTACTGTGCACAAATTATGTGTTGTAGAATTGTGCACCTGAAACCTGTATAAATTTGTTAGCCAGTATCACCCCGATAAACTTAATAAAAAGGAAAAAAAAAATTACTGATCTGAAATAATTATAATTCTCAATTATTTTTGCTAGTGTATATTCAAAATAACAACTAAAGCAAAAATAACTAACATTTGGAATCATCATACTTACTGTGTGATGTGTCATGTTCCAGGAATTCACTGTTTTAAATTAATAGTGTGGTTAATAATTCTTAGCTGCCCCTTGACTCCATCTCCATCCTATGATATTCTGTCTTGAGGGACTGCAAAACATTAAATTGCCCAAACGAGGTCACCTCCATTGTCTATAAGTTGAAAAAAGTGCATATTCTTGGGTTTTCTACAACGACCTAATGGATTATCATTTCTGAGCTAGAACATGTGAATATGCATTTTTAAAGGTGTTCTTAATGATTCTTATTACACTTGTACTCTAAATTGTTTGTATAATATTTGTGACTTATACTTTGATATTTAAAAGATTTCAATGAAGTAGGTTATTAGAAAAATAAAAAAGAATATTCTGTCTTCCACTCCCAGAGGGAGAGAAAATAAAATAAGTTATCTATTTCATTTTATGAAGAATTTTTTTGGGGAAAAAAAAAGTGATATGCTTAAAAACCAATTGTTCAAATGGAATTTTGCCAAAAATAAAAACAATAATAATAACTGTTTACCATACTCTCTTTTTTTGGCTCAAACCACTTGACTTCCTTCAAGAGGTCAGTGACCAAATCTGTTTTTACTTCAAACCCTGCAGAAAATTACTCTTTTCTCCAGCAATAAATCTCTAACACAATTCTTCCTGAGAAGATCCCATGAAAACAAACAAAAAGTCTCATTTATAAACGGAGATTGTCCAACAAGACCTAATGAAATAGATCGCTGGAAATGAACTGGAATGAGCAAAAGGTGAGAAGAGAGGCTGAACATCAGAACCTAACTTTCTAAAGCATTCCTCGTGATTTTCTTAAGTACCTCATAGGTCCTCGTAAGACACTGCCTTCTTTCATTGTCTCTTACCAACAAAGTATTGTAAGCACTGTTTCTAACTCATTCATACCTACATAAGTAGAGAGTTTATAAATCTGCCTTTCTGATGTACCATAAATTTTTAAGTTATAAAGCTCACCTCAAATATTTTTTTCCAACAGAAAAGGCTATATTGTCTCCCTTTCTTCCAAAAATATTTGAGAATTATATTGGATATATATATATATATATATATATATATATATATATATATATATATATATGACAAATTTATTGTGAGCTCTTTGAGAGTGGAAGTTGTTTTATTCATCTTTATATCTCAAAACATAGCACAGCACATGGCATTAAAAAAAACCAAAAAACAAAAAACAACCTTTTTTTCTTTTTGCCATGTGCCCTGAAGAATATCTAAAAGTTACAATCCAAAATTTATTAGCTGATGATTCTTTAAAAACTGGTCCTTAGTAATTCACTGACTCACACATTAAATATTTATTAAGTGTTTTTTTGGCACTTAGTTATGATGTATTAACAGCCTTTCTGTATGTTATTAAATTTAATTTTCTAAAATCTTGCTAAAAAGTTTTGGTTTTGTGTTCATAAATGATATTGGATAATAATATCAGGGTAGTACTTGCTCCAAAACATTTGTTAAAAATTGTTATTAATTTTCCTTAACTGTTTTGGTAGAATTCAAAAGTGAAGCTATATAGGCCTCATTTTTTAAAACAAATATGGAGTAATATAAGTTATCTATTTCTTCTTGAGTGAGCTTTCCTAATTTATGTCTTTTGGGGAATTTGCTAATTTTGTAAACATTGTAGAAATTATTGATATAATATTTATAGTATTTCTTTTTTCTTTATTTCATATGTGCAGGGTTGTTGTAATGTACACTTTTTTTATTTCTGACATTGGTAATTTGTTTCTTCTCTTTCTGAATATTATAGTAAAAAATTATCAACTTTCTTAATCTATTCAATAAATTAGCTCTAGGTTTCCTTGTTTTCTCTTTTATTTTACTGGTTTCTGCTCTTCTATATTATTTATAGTTTCATTTAGGTTCTTAACTTGCTCTTATTTCTCATTCCTTCTCCTTCCTCCAAAACCGCAATTTAAACTATTTGAATTTTCCCCACATCTCATTGATTCTCTATTCATATTTTTATTCAGTTCTGTTCTGTTTCATTTTTAATAGTATCTATTGCTCTGTGTTCAAGTTCACTGATCTTTCCTTCTTCATTGTCCAATCTACTATGACTACCACTCTGTATACTTTTTATCTTAGACATGTTCATCACTAGGTAGGAATTATATAAGAAAAACAATAGGATTTTTTTTTAGGTGTCTTGATATTGATAATAAGATTCTTCTAGCAAATAGGGACATCAGAGTGAATTTGATTGGTTTTTAGCTACTGAAGTCTTCATATGAGAACTTAAGTCATTTTTTTTTTTACATTGAAGACCAACTATCTCTATAGAAGACTATTATACTTCTTTTTAAAGATCCTAAAGGAAGTGAAAAATAAAACACAGAATTTTAGAATATGTATTGTTATTTACTTGTTATTTTTTATATTGATACTGGAGTAACCTTCCTATATACAATTGACTCATATGATATTGGAGGCTAAGAAGTCCAAAGTTCTACAGTTGGCAAGCTAGGAGAACTAAGAGAACTCAATGGCGTACAGTCTGAATCCAAAAGCCTGAGAAGCAAAAGGGTTGATGGTGTGAATTCCCATCTGAGTTTGAGGGCCCAAGAACCAGGAGAGCAAAGTTCTAAATTTTAGTCTAAATCTGGGTCCTCCAAAGGTAGGAAAAGGCCCATGCCCAGCTCAAAGACAGGCAGAGAGTGAATCTCTCTTACTCAGGCTTTATGTTCTTTTCCAGCCTTCAGGGGAGTAGATAAGACCCACCACATTGGGAAGGGCAATCTGTTTTACTCAATCTATTCAAATGTTAATTTAATCCAGATATACCCAGAATAATGTTTAACTAAATACCTGGGCACACAATGGCCCAAATAAGGTGACACATAAAATGAACCATCCCACACATAGTATTTAGCTCTTCAACCATGGAAAGGTTTTGAGTTTAAACTCTTGAATAGACAGTTTGTTAATATAATTGACCCTTAAATGAAGCAGGGCGTAGGGGTTACACAGATGAAAATCTGTGTATAATTTTGACTCCCCCACACCCCCACAAACTTAACTACATAGTTGTGCTTTTGTATTTGTGGGGACTTGATTCTAGGATTCCCCCTATAAATACCAAAATCTATAAATGCTCAAGTCTCCTATATACAATGGTATAGATTGATGCAAACAGCAAACCTCCACATTCATAGAGTACCAACCTCAGTTGGAAAGCAGTACAGGTATTTCTGTTCATAAAAAGGCCTACCTGGTTAACCAAACTCCTGGATCATTTTGTAACAATTCCTCGGTATATACCTAAGAGGAATAAATATATCCATAGAAAATTTTGTACAAAAATGTCCATAGGAACTGAAAAATGAAAATAATCCCACACTCATAAGCAGAACAGATAGACAAATTGTATTATATTCATAAAATGCATTGAAATATTAATATTCGTATAAAGTGAGGCATCTGGCTGCCTTATCTTTAGCTATTAATGTATATTAAATAATCATTTATTTAATTCTGCTGTATAAATATATTTTCAAATTTGACCACCAGAGGGTAGTAGAGGTTTAATTGTGATAGTCTTCATGTCAAAAAAATGTAAATTGTAAGGGTGTGGGGGAGTTAGGAGGCTCTCTTTTTTTCCCCCTTGCATCTCTCCTCTGAAATGACTATACTTTGCCATTTATGG